TGGAAATTAATTTATAAGTAATTTCTAAATTGATAAGGGTGGATTTGTAGTATTCGTGTGATAAATAAGTGGAAACAAACGGCCAAAAAATAATTCGGCACATTAGTGGCTAGCTCATGCCAGAGCAAGGTATTCTAATTGGTAAGGATGATCATAGATTCGTCCAATCTGTCCAACCCGATTAAACTGACCCAACCTAATTGATTTTGGGCGGATGCGTATTTTTTGATGGATGAATACGGATGAAATATTTTAAAATTCGTAAATACGATTTGGATGATGGATCTACTATCTCGCATCTACATGAATCCGATCCGCCCAGGGCCCGCCCTGAGATTTAGGGGGCCTAAGGCAAATTTTGAAAATTGGGGCCCCTCTTACATTGAAAAAAAAGGGTTCACGGATAAAACGATAAGTTACAACTTTTTTATTTGTCTGTAGTCACAAAAAAATTTACTTGCACAAATAATTATTAAAATTATAAACAAAACAATTTAATGAAACAAAATTAGGGCAAAAAAATTAAGAAAAAATCATTAAAATTATATTTTTATTTTAATAAATATGGGCCAAACTACACTTATAAATAAATATAGGATAAACCATATATGGAGCCAACAAAATATTTTGGGGCCCTTTAAATAGATCCTTAAAAAAAAAAAGGGAAATTACCCATAGGTCCCATGTGGAACATGTGGACACCATTTAATCCCACAACTTTTTGAGTACACCCAAAAGTCCTTTCCCCTCTCTCTCTGCTTTTTGCTTCCCTCTTTACGCCTCCTCCTCTAACCCTGTAGTAGTAGGAAGTGGGATTACTCCTGCTTCCTCCTCAAAAACAATGTCTCTAACTGGATTTCTCCCCCCAAACTCAACATCCTCAAAAAATGTTAATGACAACATCTCAAGATACCTAGCACAACATTAATACCAAGCCTTTGGGTAGTGATATTAACTGTAAGTGGTATTCTTGTTGTAATGATCAAACATTGACAATAAGTTATGTAAAATAACAAATCTATCTTTTGATGGATTTATTATTCACATTAGGTTTTCTTGACAATTGGTACATGTTTATCACCACAAAAATGTGTGTGTAATTCTGCCAAGTCTTAATCATGTCTTTGGACCAATAAATACCCGCATGAGATACAGAGACATGAACTTCAAAACATTCCATATAAAACAATCTAGACAAGAGAGATCACTTTTGTGACATCTTGTTTTAATTGACTTATATTGAGAATGTTAGAAAATTAAATTTCTGTAGACGTTGTATGAAATTACATTAAATTTAAAGATTTCTAAATTTGTGACCCCGTATATGTTATATAATCTGACGGGTCCAAAAAAAACTGCCCACCGAATCATTTTACAATTCCAGAAAACAGATTGCCATTTTCACAGAACAAAACAGGAAAAAACAGAATTTACATCATAAGAAAATTCAGAATCTAATTCCAGGAAACTAAATAGAATGAATAAAGCATATCAATTCCGATAAGACACATGATATGCTGGCTCTGATACCAATTGTTCAACATAAATTTCAGAACATAAACCTTACACTTTGGATCATTTACCATGTGTATTATCAAGAAATTAAAACAAAATGACATACCTGAATCCATTGATGAACGGTTAAACGGAAGCGTGATTATCAATGAACTCTTTGTTATTGATTATGTTATTGCCTTCTAATCCTTTCCCCTTTGGTGCCTTATGTTTCTTCTTGAGAGGATTTAGAAAACAAACCTTTTTTTTTTCACTTGGGAAGGAATAGGGACCACAACCTTTTAAAGGTTGTAATTGGTTTTCAAAACTGAAAGGTTGTGAAAGTTCAAAAGGAATGAAAACCAACTTTAACCAATATGTTTTAATTTCTATTTCTGCCCCTCATAGAAATAGAAATTATACAACTAGTATCTCCACATTAGGTCCATAACACATATACCCTTAAGCCTATTAACTAAATTGAATCACTTAAATTGTAGGCTTCTTATAAATGATAACACCACATTTAATTATGTGGTCCCATTGAGACATTATCTAACAATCGTTGTATGTAAATTTATGATTTATATATCAAATATTTGAAGATATTGATAGTCTTAAAATCATTATAATATTGTGGAATTTGGACTTTCATGTGTAGTTTATGCCATTAAAAAGATTATTGAAGATTTTATTTGGCCCTTAAATTTGCTAGAAAGTTGTATGAACTTTTAGGCAATTTTATATTCAAAATTTTGAGATGATTTCTCTACAAAATTGTTTAAAATGATGTCTACTTTATCCAAGAATTTTTGCAACAATTATTGAGTTTTCTACGAATTTATACAAAATTTTAACCACATCTGGAACTATAGGCAGATTTTACTGTGTGTTTGAAAAATTATTAAAAATTTTTTATTAAACCAAATCTGTTAATTTCTAAATAAAAAATTAAATTTGAGAAGTCTAGTTTCATAATAAATTTTTAGATTATGGAATTGATTTATGAATTTAAGTATAGAATTAATTTAAGAAAATGTGATAAATCTGTGTCATGAAGTTTCTGGGAATTTTACAGAATTATTTATAAATTATTTGTGGGAAATTCTATCTGAAAAATGACCTAAACATCTTTATTGAATATTCTATAGATTTTCACAAATTTTAGAATTGCATAAATAATTTATTTATAATTTTTATTACCTAAGGTATATCCTGAAAATTTCTGGGCAGGTTTAAAATCATTACTTCAATTAATTAATTGGATAAAAATTAATTATTGTGTTGGTCTAATTCATTAAATATTGTAAATTAGTAATCCATGTATGGGTGTATTATGGTTTATTTTCTTTGTATCTAAATTATTATTTCATACCATGGTTTAAATTAATTGTTTATTTAAATTTTGTACATTGATTTGTTATTGTGTGACATGTGTAATATTTTATGTTGAGAATTTTAATGAGTTGGTATAACATTATTTGTGATTAATATAAAAACTAACTGAAATTATTAACGGCATATACAAAGTTAACAATTGAGGGTTAATACCGGTTGTTCAGGGTGAGTCCTGGTTTTGAGAATTCTTACATAAATTGTGTCGCGAAACCCTAAGATGGCACGAGACTTTTTGAACCCTTATCGGTATTTGGTTTTGGGATAAAGGTGGATGTGCGGGTGGCACGCAGAAAGCTTACATACCCCTGGCAGATCATTCCCTTGGGACAGACCATGGATGCCACGACTTGGGTATATAACTCTGGGTATGGGCATTCTTGGTAGTTCTTGAATATTTGACCGAGGGGTTTCCAAATTAACCGTGGCCATAGCTTAGTGGTTGGTAAGAAAATCTCTTTAGTGAGATTTTAAGTGTCACCTAAACTAATAAAATTGTTGAAATTATTTTAAATTGTTGTTATATTATCATGCTATTAATTCCGTCATTTTCTCTTAATTGTCATGATTGTAATCTGATTACTTTCTCTTAAAAAGAATGGTAGGTTAGTTATGTTTTCTTATTGTGTTGCAAAACTCATAGCATATATTTTGTTGTCCTGGCGTTTTATGCCAGATTATGACAAGGAAGGGACTGAAGCCGAAATTGGAACCGCTGCTAATATAGAACCGTGGCTAACTTGAAATCAATAATTTAGCAAAATGAAATTTTATTATCTTTTGTATTAATAATTACGAATGTTATAAAGTTGTTGTAATATTGTATGCAGACTCGTTATTTTGTTTTGTTGTTAACCTTTGACTATGTGAGAATTTAAATTTCTCTAATTAGTTGTTAAAAATTTTATTTAGTAATTTATTTGTTATTTAAATTTTATAATGTTCCAAAGAAAATTGGAGTGTCACAGTTAAAGTTCCCACTAATCATGAGAAGTTGTGCTTTTGGCCTTGACAATAGGAAGCAAGTGTGAAACATAAGAGTAAATTGATATTTTGATATTCCTTCATTTACTTATCTAGTACCTCTTATTTGAAAAGCAATGTAAAATAGTGTCCTAACTAAAGGAAAATATGAAGAAAATCAAGTGCCAAGCTTTTAACATAAGCAATTATATATCATCTTTTAGGGTGATAAATACATGCAATATATGACCTAATGTAATAGAAAACTTGATGATGTCAATACCTAGTAAAGTGCAGTTGTAATTTTATGAAGTTTATTGACCCCATTTGATGGGATTTAAGGCTTCGTTTGGTTTGGTTTGGTTATTGACCTACTCTAACAAGCATATGAATTTGACACCATTGTGAATCCTAAAACAGTATCGAGAGACTTAAAAAACATATAAAAAAATGTTACACCATAAATTTTTTTACAAGAATCTGCTTTCACAATGATGTAGCAATGACGTATTTGTAAATTATATTCTTAATCATAGGCTTTATGTTCTTCACAATTGAGATATGTTTTTGACTGCTAAATTAAAATTTCAAGGTGTGTTATAGATGTTAGTGTACTTTGTTCTGTCTGGCACACAATGGGAGTAGTGGTGGTAGGTGGAATGGCAGACAGTTTTGGTGGTGGTGGTGGTGGTGTTGAGGGTTAGAGGAAAGGAAGAGGTGGTGGTGGTGGTGGTGGTGGTGGTGGTGGTGATAATAAGAGAAATAAAAGGAGGAGACTGTGGAACGAGGGAGTGTGAGTTTGCAGAGAGAATTGGTGATTGTGCGAGGAAGATAGAGAGGGTAGGTTAGGTGTACAACAGTGCATGAAAGAAGTTTGTGGGCTTTTGGTGAGAACAAAGAGGATTGTTTGCCTAAAAAAAAATAAATGAAACTGATGTGTTTGTTTGGTCACTAATATAGTGTTTATGGAAATTTAGTTTTGTAAAGAGGCAAAATGACAACTTTACATTTTCTATTAACCACCGTCATTCTGACAAGATAGCCCAGTATAATTTTAGAAACCATAAGAGAGATACATATTTAATCGTCGAACATGAAAGGAGAAATCCATGTAATTAAAGCTCCTTCAAAAACAGAACCAAAATAAATAAATACAGTACAAAAATGGCACCAACTAGGCATGCTTCATATCTATTGAAAAACCAATTCAGAACATCATAACAATACTAGTATAGCTTTAAAACATATGTTTGTCTAGCTTCCATACACACAAACATAAATATATATACATAATAGATATTTTCAACTCCAAACTGCTTCTTAGAATTCTTTTTCCAAGTATTCTAGAAACAATTTGGTAGGATTTTGCTACAATTCAGGGTCACAACCTTTTAAACATGATAATGAGTGGGGTTGGAGAGATTTGGGGATTGGTTTTTGCTAGAGCCGAATGATTTGGTGACCCAAGATTGGAGAAAAACACCATTATACCGGGGACAAACCGCTCCTATTTTCTTAAGTGAGTGCATGAAAGTTTTCATCAGCTCAATATATAAAGGCAAGTAAGAAAGTGCAAAGATACAGACCGGGAAGAATGCCACAGAGTATAAGGCAATTCTAGTCCATTGTTCCTTGTTGTGAAGCAATAGGATCACTGTTGCTGCAAATGCAAGCATCATCATTGACACAGAAAGGATCAATAATGAAAGTCCCAGCATAAGTTTTTGGGGAAGAGACCGCCTGAAGTCTTTTAACTGAAATGATGATGTGAGGATTGACAAAAATGTGATGACGGCTGTCAAAGCAAATGTAAGGGAGATAACATCGGTCAAGGTGAAAATCACAAAGAATGGTTTGGTTTGGAGAAGTGGGTAACCGGTGTTTTGATTTGGACCTCCTGGTACTGTGTAGGCTGCAGCAAAGGCAACAGTGGCAATCAACACAGCAACAATGGAGCAATTTTCTGCAGTGCGCTTTAACCATTCTTTGGCTTCTTTACGAAGTGTAGCATTGTTTTTGGCAAAGAGCTTTTCAGCGGTCAGTCCATCATTGTTGAGGTGCTCAATGAAATGGGCTGTGGAGATCTTTTTCACACGCTGCACGTTTAACCAATCATAGAGAAGGCTGTTTCAATTCAATTGTAACAGATATTTTGAGCTTAAAACTCTTCCTAGCTGGAAGTGGGCTATTCAAGTTGTTGGACCATGATCCTTAATAGTGTGAGATAGAAATGATACCAGTCGTTGGTGCAACTTGTAGAGTTGCTTAGTAGTTTTTTTTTTTTTTTTTTTTTTTTTTTTGGTTGAAAATTTGTGTTTGTTGTAGCTTCCGTTTGTAGCATATGAGGCGGAAATTATTTATATAAATTGAAAAAAGTTGATTATTGGAAAGCTGGAAAATGAGTGCTTTTATTTTCACTTTTTGATTATCAATTATTAGCTTGCAAAAAGTTGCACCAAACATGCTATTTGATCCAACAACTTGAAACGTTCACAAATCTAATGCTTAAATGCAAGGAAAGAAGCATTTGTTTGTGAATGTGCACATCAAGAATGAAACAACATAAGTGCACCTCAAACAAGAGCAAATCCTCTCGCAATGGTAGAGCAGGGCTTCGCATGTCTTCAGCATCTTCTGTCTTAGTCCCAACCATATGCAGTATAGAGTTCCCATCATTGTTAATCTTTCTTAAAAGCCTCATCATTGGAATTTCCAATTTCTCCACGAAATCAAAAATATGTATTTGGCGATACTTGATGGCTACATGAAGTATATTACGTCCTTCATGATCAATATGCTCGACTGCCTGAGGATACATGCGTAGTATTTCTTCAACAATCTCTAAAATGCCTGATTTAGTAGCCAAAAACAATGGAGTTTCCGCAGTCTTCCCTCCGATTGTCTCTTGACTTGATGTGGTTGACTTTTCTTCCTCCCTTATTACTTCTTGGCCATCGGAAGGGATGGAGGATGTTCTAGGTGATCCATATTTGTGAGTCCTAGGCTTACCGTCATCCATGGCAGATGCAGTTGCCTCCCATGAAGTATCTTTCGCTATTAAGTACTTGGCAAGCCTCACAGCTGATTCATATCTTTGGTTTTTTCCTTGAATAGTTCCCCACAGAGGGATTCTACAACATGATTCAACTTTTCAAGATACAAAAAGTCAGAATTAGTTGTGTTGTGTGTATAAGAAAATAAAGCTAGCACAACAATACGAAAACTATATCCACTTAAGAATGTATATGTGCACTAGCTTGTTTTGCCTCGAGATGTTGTAACTATCTAACATTCCATCTGGATCGCAAGATGAGAAAATAGAAAAAAAGATTGTGAAGAGAAATGATTGTATTTTCTCACTATTATGTTTAGATGAGTAAGAAAGTAAAATATGTGATATAGGAATGTAGATATGATATCATTTTCTTCTTCTTTTGTATTTTAACGAGCAATCTCGATATTACGAAAAATACACAACTAATCAATTTGTTTCTCAATAAATCTCACAACTTCTGTTAATAAATGAAACCTAAAGCATACAGTAAGTCAAGTGATTTAGAAATGCTCCTAAAAACTTGCCATGAAAAGTTGATCAAATGTGTGTATTTAAATTTTTGTCATGGGACCAAACCTTGAGTGAATCTATGTCACAGGATTCAAATTCTAGTGTTTTTTTTTTTTTTTTTTGGTTTCTAGCATCATTGTATAAAATAAGAGAGCTCTTTCTTGCAGTTTCCTATGATTTCTCACAACTTCTCACCTGACTTATAACCAAATATGAGAAAAGAGTTCTCTTTCTTTTCGTTTTTCATCATTTCTCATCAAATCATACCATCCAAACGGACTGTAAATGTAATAATATTACAGGAGCAAGGATGTAAACTTCATAAGGATAGCCTATTCCAAGCACTAAGATTTTCCTGTTTGGCCCTTTACCTTGCTCTGTCACAACAAAAGTATCTTCTTCCTTTGCCATAGGAGTATCTTCAGTAGAGACACCTGCTAGCACCCAATATTTTGTGACATTCAAACTGTTATTAACTTATAAGATAGATTAAATTTTAAAAAATTAAATAATAGACATACTAGAAATGCAAAATGACAAAGTACAAGATAAATTAGTCTAATGGAATGTTTGATTGGACATAAAAGTGAGTTCGGTTTCTCTATCAAGATTTTCCCGCAAGCTATTTTTTTTTATTTTATTTATTGCAATCAGACATGTTAACAAAGTATAAAATCAAAGGGTTTGTGTTAAAACTAAAGCAAAATAATAATAAAATCATGCATCTTAAAACGATATAATTTAGCTTTAACTTTAAACATATGTCATTAGATTACCGTAGTCAGATTATTACAGAGAAATCCATTATAAAAAAATATATGTCCATAAAAAGTATCACATAATTACATACTTAGAAATACATGTCATCAAGGAAAATACAATATTATAGAATTTTTATACATAATTATTCATCATGACAATAATATCTTTATAAATTGTAATTAAATATAATAGTGACAGACATTTTGTTTAAAAAAGGTGGGTCCCAATGTGTCCATATCATTTTGTATACGTGGTTTTTTTTTTTTTTTTTTTTTGTATGTACTATGTTGCATCACTCATCATGAAATTATACCAAGGTTCATTGCGTTTTGCCCTGTTTGGTTTCCACTAAAAAACCCCCTTTTGGCTTTTAAAAAAAAAGGGGATAAATTACACTCACCTCTCCTTAGGTTTCTGACAATTATAAGGACTTTCCCTATAATTTTAATAATTACAAAAATTACCCTTACTTTTGAAACTATTATTAAGATTCCCTCACTGTTAATCTTCTGTTAATTTATTTAACAGAATATGATGACATCATGCTGATGTCATGTACTATGAGTACAAAATTCCAAGATTGCCCTTACATATTCAAATAGTAAATTTCACTCACCTCTCATGAGATTTTACAAAAAATTAATAAAGTCTCATACATTATTTTGATAATGTTAAACAAAATTATTACATTCTATACAATATTTAAAAAAATTCTAAATTGTTAAGACAAGCAAGTATATAGTAGAACAACCAAACATTACCTTATCTATATATATATATATATATATTAAAAAAAAAGAGCTAATAAATTGATCACCATTAAATCTTATACTAGAATTAAATACAATCATTTATTTGAAAATTATGAAACAAAGTATAAAAGTTGTTTTATTTTTTAAAAAGACCACTAATTTTATAAATAACTATTTTTAGAAATTAGAGTTTGAATAAAAATTTAAAAATATATATAGGTATTTGAATTTTTTTTCCTGTATGGAAAATACACATTTGGAGAAACTATCCCTCTCTTTCCATTTTCTTTTTTGTATTTCTCTCATTTTTCTTTCTATTTATTTTCTCATTCATTTTTTCATAGTGCCATTGCAACAAACAACAGCACCATATAATTTATTATTATGATTATTAGTTTTAGTATTATTATTTGTTCTCTACTCTATGTTTTTTTCTCAACTTTTTTCACCATTTTTTTTTTCTTTCATCAATGTTTAGCCAATATCATCCAATACCATAGCAACTTACGAAATATGAATTTTTCTTTTGTTTTGTAAACATATTTGTGTATTAATTTTTTTTTAAAGATAAATAAACATAATAACATTTCATATTTATAATAAAAAAATTGACTTATAAAAATTACCAAATGTTACCTCATAAATATATATATAAAAAAATTATCATTTTATCTTTTCACAATCCTATATTATTCTCAAATTTTAATTGTCATTAAAAAAATAAGTCAATATTTCTCACCTTAATTATAAAAATAAATATAAAAGTGAAAAATAATCTAATCACATTACAATAAATTAAAATTAGATGATAGGGAATGAACGATAAAGAAATTATTTGAGAATAATAATAATTATTTAAATTTGTCATTTCTTACATCTAATTAAAATAGAATTTTATTTGAAAAAAAATAAAATACTCAAACAATTTGTTATTTATTACATCTAAAACCTATATCTTCGTCTTTGTTTTCTTTCATTTAAATTATTTTTATCAAATTAAATCTCAAAATTAATTCACATAAGAAACATGGATATTATTTCTTTTTTTTGATCGGCGAAAAAAAAATCTTTATTGATGACAACATACAAGGTATAGAATAGTACATCAATAAAGAGGAGCTTAGAGCTAAGGCAAAGCTCCAAGCGCCAGCTGGTAAGAAACCAACCAACACAGACAAGATCAAAGAAGAGAAAGAAACAAGAAGAGAAAGAAACAAATACGGAAATGGCCACTAGATCAGCAATCTGTACACCAATGCAATCTGTACACCAAAACATCTTCCCACATCAGACCACAAACAACAGACTTCCCACATCAGGCCAATGAACTCCCACTGTACACATGCGCAGCAGCAACACAACCAGCAAAAGTCTGAGTAGTGGCAAAGGTAGAACAGATCAACAACTCTTCATAACATCATTTTATTGACTCATAGTTCAGTAACACACCAATCCAGCAAAACATTACACAGCAAAACAGCAACACAGTGAAACAATACACACCCACTGTACACCAATCCAGCAAAACAACACAGTGTAACCGATCAGATCAGCAGAGTTTTACCACAAACCAACACAGCTATCCAAGGTCTACCCAAAGCAGTACACACAGCCACCAGGCCTCAGGGCCTAACAGATCTGAACACCACAGCTCAGCACCGTGTATCTCCTCACCCCCCCCCAAACACTCCCTTACTTGCCTCAGATTAAACATGAAATCCTGGACTGAAAAATTGAACTCGCGGAAGACATGTTTCAACCAAAATGCAACCCTGTATTTTATTAAATCACAGAGGTCCTCCAGATTTGGGGTAGATTTTCTGAATACACACTCATTCCTACACTTCCACACAGACCACATCACTGACAATGGGATCACCCTCCAGATTTTCCTTACCTTCTTCTTTAATTTCTCCCCCGCCCACCAGAGCAATAAACACTCAACCGAGCCCGGAATGGCCTCTTGGATACCCCACCAAACTAACATTTCAGACCAAACCCTCCACACAAAGGGGCACCAGATTAAGACATGACTCACAGATTCAGTGGCACTGCCACAAAACACACAAGCAATAGAATCACTAGAGTTGATCACCCCCAGTTTTCGCAAGAATTCCTTAGACTTAAGTCTTGTCTTCCATGCAAACCAACCAAAAACCTGTACCTTAGGAGGTATATAATTAAGCCAAATCAATTTGGTAATGCTCATCGTGGCACCCATATTATCCACGCCCCTCTTGTACAAATCTGCCACTGTGAATAACCCAATAGATGAAGCTAACCATGTAAGCCTATCAACACCATCTGCGCACTGGACAGGGGCCCCCCTCAGGTATTCAAAAAGCCTTGTCAACTCTTGTTCCTCCCACTCATATAGCCCCCTTCTAAACTCAAAGAACCAGCCACCTACTTCACTTCTCTTATCAACCACACTTCTTAGGGACTCATTTTTATCCACAGTCAACCGAAACAAGATTGGAAATTCATCCTTCAAACACATAGTCTGCCACCACATATCAGACCAGAATCTGATTCTCCTCCCATCCCCCACCTTCAACTTAATATTATTCAAGTAGAATTCCTTGAGGCTACTACACTTCTCAGCTACTGCAATAATCCCTTTCCAGATTCCTGAGTGCCTGTTAGATGGGGAGAAAGTTGGGATCCATCCGTCAAGCTCCAACCTATACCTGCTACAAATAACTCTTTTCCACAACGTTCCCTTTTCGCAGCCAAACCTCCACCACCATTTAATTAGTAAACAGTTATTCACATCCCTAAGTTTCCTAATACCCAAACCACCTTTCTCCAATGTTTTTGACAAGTCTTCCCACTTTACCATATGAATTTTCCTATCCGAGGCAGACCCACCCCATAAAAATGCAGCTTGAATCTTCTCCAATTCTCTGGCTACCCCTTCAGGCAACTTGAACAAGGATAAGTAGTACACTGGCAACGCTGAAGTAACCGATTTGACAAGTGTTAACCGCCCTGCAAATGACAACATCTTTCTCTTCCAACCAGCCAGCTTGCTTTTGACTTTCTCCACCACTGGTTTCCATGTAGCTTTCATCCTTGGATTAGCACCTAATGGCATCCCAAGGTACTTTAGGGGTAATGTCTTAGTTTTGCAGTTCAACACTGCAGCACAGCTATCTAACAGTTCCTTGGAAGCACCCACACCGCATACTACGCTCTTGTGAAAGTTTATTTTGAGTCCCGACATGATTTCAAAGCACCTAAGCACCCTTTTCAGCTTCTTCACTTCCTCCACTTGAGCTTCACAGAACAGTAATGTATCATCTGCAAACTGGAGATGCGTTAACAGGACACTATTGTGGCCTACCTTAACACCTTTAATTAAATCTAACTGGGAAGCACGGCTTAACAGCTTATGAAGACCTTCCGCCGCAAGATTAAACAAAAGAGGGGATAAAGGATCCCCTTGCCGCAATCCTCTTTGTGGGCTAAACTCTTCCGTAGGAGACCCATTCACAAGCACCGAAAGCCTTACAGTTGTTACACACTCCTTAATCCACTTAATCCACTTCTCACCAAACCCAAAATTAGTTAACATTGAGAATAAAAAACCCCAATTAATTGAATCGAAAGCCTTCTCAAAGTCCAACTGAACAAGTAACCCCTTCTTTTTGGCTTTCTTCCATCCGTCTACAACTTCATTAGCTATTAACACGCCATCTAAGATATTCCTCCCACTCAGAAACGCAGATTGGGATTCACTAATGATATGGGGCAAGACAGATTTTAGTCTAGTGGCCAACAATTTTGCTAAGATCTTGTAAATAGAGCTCACCAAACTTATAGGTCTATAATCCGATAGCCCTATGGGGTTCTCTTTCTTTGGGATAAGGGTAATGAATGAACTATTAATACCCTTTACCAACTTCCCATTGGTTTGAAATTCTTTCACAAACTGGACCACTTCACCCTTCATGATTTTCCAGAACTTCTGGTAGCATAACAAATTAAACCCATCAGGACCCGGGGCCTTATTCCCATCACAAACCATCACTGCTGATTTAATTTCTGCTACTGAAAAGTCTGATTCTAGCCATCCAGAGCCCTTCCTATCACTGTAGAGAAGCAACCCCCCAACACAGGTCTTGATGACCAATCCTCAGTGTACTATTTTTTAAAATGATCAAATACCTTGCGCTTCACTGAGCCCGGATCTTCCACCATCACCTCCCCATCTAGTATAGAATTTATTTCATTTCTAACAGTTCTACCTTTTGCAACCACATGGAAGTATCTTGTATTCTTATCCCCTTTCATTGCCCAGGTAAGCCTTGACTTCTGTAACCATAACCACTCCACCATCCTGCTCAGCCTCCACATCTCAATTCTGGCTTCACTTCTCCTAGCTTTTTCTGCACCATCAAGTTCTCTATCTTCGCCCAAGATATCAAAATTATGGAGTTCAACCTCTGCTGCCTTCAGTTTATTTTGTACATTGCCAAAGACCTCCACATTCCAACTTCTGAGGCTACCTTTCAATATCTTCAATTTTTGAAACAGAATAAAGCCAGCCCAGTCTACGACACTGGGCTCTTTCCAATGCAACTCCCAGAACTTCCGAAAATCCTTATGTAAAAACCAAGCATTTAGAACCCGAAAGGGTTTTGGACCCCAATCTCTTTCGTCCTCCATCAGCAGAAGTGGACAGTGGTCAGAGACCAGTCTAGGGAGACCCCACAGTTTAAAGTTAAATACCTCAATCCATTTTGGGTCTACAAAAATTCTATCTATTCTGCTCCATTTCTCACCAAGACTAGAGTTGCACCAGGTGAATCTCCTCCCAAGTAATGGTAATTCAGATACCTCACACTTATCGATAAATTCATTAAAATCTTTTATTCCTCTATCTCTCCTCGAACAACCTTTTCTTTCCCCAATCTGCCTGATCTCATTAAAATCCCCTCCTAAAAGCCATGGATTAAGAAATTCCTCCTTCAGCTTCAACAAACACTTCCACAGATTCCCTCTAGATCCCACATCATTAGGAGCGTAGATGTTCAGAATAACACAATGAAAATGGTTAAAGAGCGTACCTGATAATATTATAAACCGTCTACTGCTGCAACAGTCCTTAAGTTGGAATATATCAGGATCCCAAATACACAACAAACCCCCTGCAGAACCGTCCGCATCGACCCCCATATACTCCATTTTTCCCCTTACCCAAACTGTTCTGACGTCTTCCTCAGTTAACTCTGCTTTCTTTGTCTCTTGAAACAGGGCAATATCTACTTGTCTTTCCATCACAATCTTCTTGATTTTGCTTCTCTTCGCCGTCCTCCCTAACCCCCTAACATTCCATGAGAATATCTTCATAAGAACATCATGTCTTCACCGAAATCACCCCAGCTGGTGCACCTACTCCCCGGCTCCCTCCCCCCCTGCAATTCGGTCCATATCCTTCAACTCAAGGTCCGCTATTTTTCCCAATACTTCGGCCCTCTTCCCATTTAGCTTCACCCCAAGGAGTTCCCCCAATTTTAGTGTTGCTTCAGCCTCGTTAAGGACGATTCTTCCTCTATCCATACCACCCTCTATAGATGCAGATAAGGACGAACCCGCCACTGCTGCTCTCCAATCTGCTGCCTTGGGCCGTGCCGAGCTTGTTGCCGCTCCTTTGCTCCCGTATCTTCCCATGAGATCAGTTGACCTTCTTCGTATTAAATTTGTATTATATTTCTTAATACTTTTGATCCTCTGCTTCCCTTTTTTATTATTTCGTAGACTGCAACTGGGTTCCTTTTCTTGAGCTTCTGAAAGACTTGATAACCTCCCAGCTGGCCCATCTTCTCTTGCCTTGTTACTACCAGAATTTTCTTTCTGCCCCAGCCCACACCGTGGTAAGCAAAGCCCATTCCCCTTATTTGGTGAATTAAACTGGCCCAACATTACTTTAATATTTACCCCAGGCCCTTCTAAACTGGGTCTATCTAAACTTCTAACAAAACCTTGCATACTGACCAGATCTTCCTTGCTCTGGCTAACTACCGTCTCTTCCGAAGAGCCGTTCCTCTGGTTTCGCACATCCATCATTGCGCCACAGACATCAGCAGTCTCTATGTTAACCCCTACACTTCTATCAGCTATAGCTTCCTCTACACTCCACCGACCTTCCACGTTGTCCACCTCCTCGCTCCGATTTTTTCCATTTGGCCTACCTACGTGAACCTCATCGCACCCATCCGCCATATCATCGGTTGAGTCATCCTCCACATCAGCATCTTCATCTTCCACCTTCCTAGTATGATCTTCCATGACATTCGAACTGCCGATCTCCACCACATGTTGAACCTTATGACAATTGCAGGGGCATTTTCCTGATTTGAGATGGATCACTTGCTCTTCACACACCCTCACTGGAAACACCCTCCCCCTGCATTCTAAATTTACAACCGAATTTATAGATTCCATACTTTTGGTAGAGATCTTCACCTTTGCACACGCAAATGTCACTGGTTGACTCGTGTCTCCTTCAAGACATAACACTTGCCCCCACACCTCACCTATCTTTCTTATATTGCTACTATTCCACAAATGCAAAGGGATACCATAGCAACTGAGCCATACATTTCTTTCCTGCTCCAAAACCTGCCCAGGTTTTCCTTCAGTCATTTCTTCACACCAATCAACAATCAGCTCCTTGATAGCTGGAAATTTCGATGCTCTCTCCTCCTTTGAGTTGAATGTTATAACAACATCCCTTCCCCCATTATCTCTTACCATTACATCCTCTACTCCTATCGCTGCCATCTCTTTCTTCAGACTGATATTAGCATATGGAACCTTCAATCTGATTATTATACTCTCAAACAACCAACCATTCCCTATCTCTTCTGCCTTCACCAGGATACCCTGTCCTCCTTCTCCCCTTTTGCCAGCCACCGCGTCTAAATATGACCTTCTATCTCTAATACCACTATACCCAATTGGAACATCTCTCCCTTTACCAGTATAGACTGTTGATCCCCGAGCTTGGTTATGTCGTGGCTTCTTTTCAACTTCGCCCCTATCCGTAACCTTCCCATACTCTGCATGTTTTACCTGTAAGGTTCGATCATCCACCCATAACCCGTGTGCTTTCTGAACAGCTATATTAGCTGCCACAGAACAACCATACCTCACAAATCCAAACCTTGTGTTAGTCATCCTGCGCGTCTTCTGTGGTATGAAGACATCAGTTACCACTCCAAACTTTGCAAATAAATTATATAGGCCTTTCGAGGTCAGCGATGCTGGCAAGTTATCCACGAACACATTGAAGACACTCACACTTCCTTCCATCCTCCACGGTCCTGATCTGCCCCTATCTCTAACAACCGGTATCCACCCTCCTTTTCCTTTTCCTTGATCCATGATCACTAGATTAGTTACATGGATATTATTTCTTAATTTCATTAATGGTTGATTTTTTTTTTTTTTTAACTTATAAAAGTTCAAAACTTAAAGTGGAAAAAAAAATACAAAGTCAAAGAAATACAAAAAAAAAAATTGTGAGAAATAAAATGATAATTTAATATATAGGTAAATTATAATTAAAGGGTATTAAGTGTAAAGGGTATTATGTTCATTTGTACAACCAAGTTAACACCGTTTGGCTTAAATTAATGGGAGAGGAGAATCTTGACAATTTCAAAAAAAGTAAGGGAGGTTTCTGTAATTATTGAACCTACATGGGAGGTCCCTGTAATTGTTAGAAACCTTAGGGGAGGTAAGTGTATTTTACCAACAAACAAAAAAAAAAGAAAAGTTAACGGGTCTTTAACTTTTTCTTTTTTTCAAAAAAATAAAATAAAATAACCAAACATATTAATTTTTGGAAAAAAAAATTTTAAAAAAAAATTGACCCTTATAACAAAATAAATCCTGAATTTTTAATTTTAACAATTTAAATCTCAAATTTTTAATTTATTTTCAATCTAAACAATTTGTCTATTTATGTTAAGTAAAATTGATGAAAAAGTGAGTATTTTAGCCATTAAACTCAATGAGAAAATATATTTTAGACATATTATGTAACCTAAATTGAGTTAAATGACTAAAATACTATTTTCAGTCAGTTTTATTTAATGAAAATAGACGAATGATTTAAATTGAAAACAAATCAAAATATTAGAGTTTAAATTGATAAAATTAAAAACTCATGATTGTTTTTGTTACAAGGCTTAAATCCTAAGAATTTTTTTTTTTTTTTTTTGTGGTAATTTTCTCTTAATTTTTTTAATAATAATTTTAGGGGCAAATTACAACTATGGTCCTTACATTTTGTCTCTTGTGTCATTTTGGTTCCTAAACTTTCAATTAGCATAATTTTGACCATTAGTTTATGATTTTGTGTCAATTTGGTCCAATTAATAATGCCGTTAGTGTTTTTGACTGAAAATATTTACTGAATTGGTTGAAAATAACTCACTGAGGTTAGCAAATTTATATTTTTTTTCTAAAAAATATGATACATGCTACTTATATGCACATTTTTCATAAAAATATTAATTAAGAGTTGTAATCAATTAGACCAATTTTAAATGAAATTATGAATTTATAGTCAAAATGGAGCTAATTGAAATTATAAAGACCAAATGACACAAGAATCAAAGTACAGGGACCACTGTCGCAATTTATCCATAATTTTTTTTTTTAAATATAAAAAAAAAAAAAAAAAAAAAAAAAAAAAAAAAAGTACTAAACGAGCCTAAGTTAAAAGAATCATACAAGAGTTGTTGATGAACCGCTTTGGGCATCTTCGTTTTCGACCATCATTGAATGCTGAGGGATTGAATGCAAGAAGTTGAAGAGCTGTCATCCCATCTCCGTCTTCTGCACTTACTAAATCTTTGTGCTTTTTGGCAATATAAAAGGCCAAGTCTGCTTGATTTTCATAGTAAAAAATCAAAGAAAACCCAAAAAGCAACAAACAAAAGAAGAATTAATTAGAAGCTCTCAACAAAACAAAACAAAACAAAACAAAAAAAGACAAATTATATATGTGATTAATTTGGTGTTTTTGGTTCTAAATGTATCAATTTTGCATTTTAATGTTTTATATTATGTCAATTTAGTCAAATTGATAAGATCCATTAAGAAATTGAACGAAAATTAAGAGCACAATAGTCTTTTGAAAAGAGAATGAACTATTTCAAATTAGATGTTAACCTTTCAGTAATTTTGAGGAGAATAAATAAATTATTTTGCCAATTGATTTTTGTCTAATTTCTAAAGTGACATTATGAGTTAAAATAAATTGACACAATATAAAAAATTTAAATGTAAGATTGATGCAAATAGAATTTAAAAGACATAAGAAACAAATTACAAAAACTACAAATGTTATTTGCTCTAAACCATATCATGTCAAGGAGCAAGCATCAACAATTAGTCAACATGGTAACTCCAAACTACATGGTTTTCTTCTAACATGATTTTGAATACAGACCGATAAGCATAAGGTTTTTGTCATTTTGATAGTAATAAATCTCAGTATATTAATTGAATTGAAAATCACAAGCATATTTGCTATTTCTTGAAAATCACATTGCCTATTCACAATCAATATGACTAGTTCACAAACAAGCTAAATTGTTTGTGTCAGAATCTTCCCCTTAAGTATCTAGGACTACCTCTGGGTGCTAGTCCTACAAATAGGAAGACATGGCAACCGGTGGTGGATAAAATAAAGTTAAAGTTGGCATCATGGAAAAGGAAGCTCTTGTCATTTGCAGGTAGGTTGACACTGATAAAGTTAGTGTTATCAAACCTTCCTTCTTACTATTTGTCCGTCTTTAAAGTTCCTAAAGGAGTGGCTAAAACCATATGTGCAGGCAGCATTCTTGTGGGGCAGCTCTGATGTGAAAAGAAAAGTGTATATGGTTAAGTGAAAGGAAGTGACCAAGAGTAAAGAACATTGTGGTTTAGGTGAAAGGATGATAAGGGAGGTGAATGAGAGCTTGTTAATGAAGTGGTCGTGGAGATATGGAGTTGAAGACATGGCTCTGTGGAAACAAGGTTTAATATGCACATATGGGTCACAAGGAGGGAGATGGCTACCATCACTGGACTACGAGGGAAAGATTTCAAGAGTTTGGGGTGATATTCTGTCAGTAGCACAATCTAACCCCCCTTTGTACAATTTTTTTGTAAGCAATGTTATGGTTGAGATTGGGGATGGACGTAGGATTCAGTTCTGGTTTGGCAAGTGGTATATGAATACTCAATTGAAGGAAGAGTTTCCTAGATTGTTTAGTATCTCTAATGACAAAGAAGGGTCCCTTCAGGATTTTGTGCAAAGAAGAGATAGAAGTGGAGATTGGAAGCTCTCTTTTAGAAGACCCCTTCTAGCATGAGAAGAAGAGGAGGTTGGTAGGTTGCATGGTCTGCTTAATAATGCCCCAGAGCTAAGACCTAATTATTCTGATTCTCTCAAGTGGACTGCATCTGATTCAAGTCAGTTTACTGTAGCATCATTGGGGAAGTGGGCTGAAGGCATGGATGGCCTAAGCTGCAAATTTCGAGGATGCTGTGGCATAAGTTTGCACCACCTAAAGTTCAATTTTTTTGGTGGTTAGCATGGAAAGGGGGGTTTAAGACAGCAGCTTTTTTACAAAGAATTTGGGTATTAAGCAGTAGTGTGAATAATGTGTGCGCTTGTTGCAAAGCTGAGGCTGAAACTGTTAATCATATTCTCTTACATTGCTATGGGGTTTGGAAGATTTGGTCAGAAACTCTGAATTGGTGGGGAGTCAGTTGGGCATCACCAAGTACAATTGAGGAGGTGTTTTATTGGTGGAAGGGTATCAGATTCTAGAAGAAGGAATTGTAGATATGGAAGGTATTACCTCTTGCCTTATTGTGTTCAGTGTGGAGTGTTCGAATTGATTTGTGTGTTCAATGGGTGCAACCTAAACTGTTGGAGATTGGAGAATTAATCAAGGTAAGGATGGCAGTATGGGCCAAGTATAATTTAAAAGGAGTGAATTATGTTGTGCAGCAATCTTGTTCTGTTGTTGCTGGTCTAATTTCACTTTAAATATGGGTTTTTTTTGCTGTTGGTTGCTGGTTTTGTCGGCACCTGTTGGTTTCTCACCAACTTTGAGGTTTGTGTAAGCAAATGATTGAGTATTCTTGTTGGTGCGAATCTAGTTAGGATTGGGTTGTTATACTTTGATGCTTTATACTTTTTCTACTTTATTGATGTAATCTCATATGTTTTTTGTTGGCACCTGTTTGTGGTCATGATTTTAAAAAATTCATAACTGCAATGCTTAAGTCACAATACGTATCACTCAATATTTTTAACATTATTAAATCGCGACGAAACAATACAACTATTTAAAACTATGTTAATTAGTCACATACAAAAAGCAACTATTACTCCAATATTTTTAACATTACTAATCTATTTAAGTTCATTGCATAGATTACAAAATGCAACAAAAAAACTGTTTATTTTTATTTAATCATACCTAGTTAAGCTATTTTTATTTAAAATTAATGTTAGTAAAATTTCTAAAAATTACATCAAATTTATTTATTTTTCAAAATCCATCTTGATTCATTTTTTTTTTTTTAAAAAAAAATTAGCATCGTTTAGTCGAGACAAACCTAAATTTTTTTTTTATTTATTCGAAGTTGAAAGAAATCCAGAAAAATAGAGGAAATTTCATTTTGGCCTTCAAATTTTTACTCAAAAAATTAATTTAACCTTTATTTTTTTTAATAATATCAATTTTATACCTAAATTATTCACTTTTATACTAATTTTAGCCCTGTTGGTAGCTGCCGTATATAATCAAACAGAAGTTGCTGACGTGGTATCGAAACTTATTTTGAAACTTCATTTATTCTTCAAACTATTTTCAAAATATCAATTAGACCCCTAATATATATATAATTAAATTTAAATATCTAATAATAATGTTGATCTAAAAAGGCGAGAAATAAATTTTAAATAATAACATTTACAAAGAAATTATTTAAAAATATGATTCATTTAAAATTGTTGCTTTAAGTCTTAAATTACCTTGAATCAGTCCTAGGAAAACTAATTGAGCCCAAAATTCCAAGTCTACACACTCTCTCTCTTAGCAATTGTAACTAGTTTGTCTTCTTGATTAATCTCAAAAAGACTGATCGACAAATAGTTGGTGAGAGGGTAATTTTTGGGAAAGAATTGGGCCGAGCTGTGAGTTGGGCCCTGCGGCCCAAAGTGTGAAGGAATCGGTAAGAAGCCGTAATGTTATTTCAGCTCAGTAGAGGTATAGGTACTCCGGCCCAGGAGAAGTGACGTTATTCCGGCCCAGGAGGGGTGTGGTTACTCCGGTTCAAGAATGTGCAAAGCAACTCCGGTCCGGTGGCAGTTTGAAGTGAGTCCGGCCTTGCATTTAGTCCGGTCGTGACATATTATGGTTAGGTCGGTCAGAACTTGCCATTTGGAAGTTTGATCTAAACACACCATGGTTGAACAGGGGAAAGCCGAGATAAGGAGTTGGAGGAAAAGACCGAGCTTAGGACAGTTCGGCCTTCTCTGTGGCTCTACATAGCCAAGCCTATTTCGGTCGGTAATATAGTAGTTCGGCCATGGTGAAAACCATCCCACTTGGTTTAAGCAGTGGGGGAGGGTGTAAAAGGATAAGCATTATCCTTAGGAGTATGAATCCTAGGAGGACTCTGCATGGAGAATAAAAGTCCTACTAGGATTGTGCCACTCGAAACCTATAAAAGCTCACAAGCACCACCTTGGAGGAGGTAATTGAACATAATTCTTTCTGAGAGCATAAAACTTTGTCTATTTGTCAAGCTTACTGACTTAGGCATCGGAGAGGTTTCCGGCACACACCCGCCGGCTAGCTCACTTTGTGTTTTCAGTTATAAAGCGACGTCGTACGGAGGAGCGTGGACTTGGTCAACAGGATTATACGAGAGAATTATTTCTTCCCCGTACAATTGGCGCCGTCTGTGGGAACATACAACAAGAACAAAAACCTCTTGACTAAGCTTCTCCTCTTTTCAATCAATGGCACACATTGAAGAGCTACCGCAGTCCGCCGTTGATGGGCTAACTCCAGACGGGGGCGCAAGGCGAGAAGGATTACCCTCTGTCCCTCCTATGGAAGATCTGGAGCCCCAACAACATAACTCCAGAGAGTGATGGCAGGGGAAGGCGGAATAACAGCCCTCGCACTCTCAAAGTCCTGACAGGCAAAGGAGGGATTGATCCTCAAGCCATGGAAGATCGCGTGAAGGAGCAAGATGAACTAATTCGGAAGATGGCGGCGGACATGGAGGCTTTGAAACGCCAGATGAAGACTAAAGATGTGGCGACAGGAGAGGGCGCGCAAGCACAAGACGCCCCCTCGCCACTCAGGAATCATAGTAGGAATACTACACCTCCCAAGGAAGGAGCAGAAGCCTCAGGACAGGCGACACTCATTCCTTATCTTCTAGGACTCGTCACTCCAGTCTGAGAGGACGAGATCCGAAAGATCATACACTGAAGGAAGCACGTATTGGCCTTCACATTCACACCAAACTAGATCTAAACAAACAGAGCTACCCAGGTCATCCGACTTACGAACCGTGCTCGAAGAAAAAGCACGATGCAAGAGGAATGCCAGGGCAAGGGACCCACACCGAGTCTCGGTCTTACAACGGTTGGCTCCTCGGACGCATGGAAGCGTCGAGGTTGGAATGCCAATACCGCGACCGGCCTACGAACCAACGGACAAAGCATTGGCAAGACTACAGACTTCGCCGTTTGTTCCAGCAATCGAAAACCGCGCCCCTACCATCAGGCTTCCTTCAGCGGAAATTCAATACATATGAAGGGAAGACGGACCCGTATTCACACCCTGAGCCACTTTCGCCAAGTCATGGCTGTGTACAGGCGAAACGAGGCCTTAATGTGCATACTCTTCCCGTCAAGTCTTGGCGACCTAGGCTTGACTTGGTTCGAAAAGCCCCAGAGGGCAGCATAGCCTCCTGGGCCCAATTGGCAGAAGCGTTCGTAACGAGGTTTCGAACAAATACTAAAACACCGGTGGAGATAGACCAGTTACTCTCCATCGACATGGGTGAAAAAAGAGACCCTCAGATCTTAACAACGTCGCTACTGGGGAGACATTCAACCAATTGGAGATTGCCCACCAATCTAGCCATTGCGCAATATAAAAGAGGCCTACCAATTAGGAAACAACTAAGGGATTCGATTACCATGACGCCACCCCTCACCATGGAGGCCCTGATGGAAAGAGTGCATCAGCACATCAGGGTAGAAGAGGATGCGCACGTGCAAAAGCAAAATCTAATGCAACCGCAGAACCCAGAAAAGAAGACCTCAGCAAAGGTCAATACAGTAGATCGCAGAACAAAAACGGGCGTGGCAGACGAGATAACGGAGAAGACCCAGACAAAAGATGGTTGAGAATCCGCACTGCCATAACAACGGTGTTCAAAAAACCAATATATCGGATTCTGAGCGAAATAAAAGATGAGCCTTTTGTCAAGTGGCCAGCCAAACTAGGGGAAGCTCAGAAAATTACGACGACAGATCACGGTGCACCTTCCACAAAGAAAAGGGGCACCGAACTGAGAATTGCACGCCACTGAGACAGCACTTGGAAGAATTGGTGGCAGCAGGCCACTTGGACAAATACATTGAAGGAAGGACGCAACTGGCCCCCAAGATCATAATGACCATCCAACAGAATCCCAATCGATGCACCGCCTCAAGGATTAATCAATGTCATACATGGAGTTTTTGAACCTGAGCGGGTATGCGAGCTCAAGAGGGTCAATCAAAAAGGCTGAGCACTTTAGAGAAGTGCTAGGTGCCAACTACCACCAAGAAAGGGAGGACGGAGGCAACAAACGTCATGTCTTTTTCGGATAAAGACCTGGATCGAATATACTGTCCTCACAATGATGCTCTGGTTGTCACTCTCCGAGTCAAAGATTTTGACGTCAAGCGGATTCTGATCGACCAAGGTAGTTCATGTGAGATCATGTACTACGACACATTCAAGCAAACTGAAGCTGCAAAGACAAAGACTTGAGCGCCTGCAGTTTCTCCCCTGATTGGATTCAACTCCATGCAGAGTGGCCTGTCGGCAAATAATCCTTCCAGTCGAGCAGGGAGTGTAACAAAACACAAGTGGAGTTCTGGGTATTGAAGGTCCCCTCCACATACAACATCACTTGGGCAGAACATGGCTGCATGCCATGCGTTCGTA